CCGCGCGTCGCGGCCCCACCCGCTGCCCGGCGAGTGGCGTGCAGGCGCGGGGCTGAGAGACGGGCTTACTTCGTCGCCCCGAGCGAAGTCGGAAGAGCTGACTCCGAGATCAGGTTTGGCGGCTGATCTGTCGTTATTCCTCCCGCTGGAATGGCCATTGGGTTGTTTCCTTTAAAGACAGAAAAGAGAGAAGTCGACCAACTCCTGAGTCACAATTTACGCCGCGAAGCCTCGGCAGCAGGTGCGCGCCGGCCAGGCCCGCGCTTCGGCACCGGTGGCTGCACGGGCCAGCTGCAGGCTCCTGGCCACCGTCCCGCCAGCCCAGAGAAGGCACTTTTAGTACGGGGCCTGGTATTCAAGTATACGCTGCAGCTGTGGATAAACTCAGAAATGACCCCTACAGGGTCAGGTTTTTTTTTTTGGGGGGGAGGGGGGTTTCATCACTATCATGCCCTGAACCACTAAATTGATCTGGGACATAAATTTGTGGCTTTTTTTCCACATTAAAAAATAAAATTGTAGAAATTAAGTGTAGATAAAAAAAAGAAAAGGTAGCGGTGTCTGCAGTATTCATTTTAAAGTAAGAAAATGCTGAGACTAGAGGCTAACAGTCTCATCCCAGGTCACACACCATCCACGGGGGGAGGGGGGGGGTCAGGTCAGAGGTCAGCTCTCAGGCCTCCAACCCAGGCTCCCGCCAGTAGACACCAGGGGTTCGTTATTGCAGCGTCACCCAAGGAAGCAACACAGATGTAAGTCTGAAGGGTCGTCTGTGAGGTTACGACACGCCCTACTAGAAAAGGAACAGGGCGTCCTTTGCTTGGCCTGAGGGACAAGGCTTGCTTACTTATACCTAGGTTTCCCGGGGTTGGAGCAATTTAAAGAAAAAAACTTTCCTTTTTTTCTTTTAAGGTTTATTCATGTACGCACACATGGGGTGCAGGCCAGAGGGGCGGGGGCTCGGCAGGGAGGACTCCCCAGAGACAGAGCGGGGCGCAGAAAGGGCGGATCCACTGAAACCCACTGCTGAGGGGGGCAGCGGGGAGACAGGAGGGGTCTGCCGCGCCCTGGGGATCGAACTCATGTCGCCGTGGCTGGCGAGGGCTCGACAGTGCTGTGTCATTAACCCTGCACCCCCAGGAGGCCCAATTCAGAGGGAAATCTTGCGAGAACAGCGCGTGTGCAGGGCAAGCCAACCCGGCCAACAGCGGGCTGAGGTGCCGCCGGGAGGCAGACCGCCCAAGCGCTCATCGAAGCAGCGGTCTGCTGAGGGTCAAGGCCAGCGGCACGAGGAGGCTCTGGGCTGTGAGCTTCAGCCCAGCCACGTGATCTGCCTGAAGAGAGTGTCCCGGAGCAGCAGCACGAGGAGCGGCAGCCGCTGGTCCGCCGCGAACGCTGCTCCTCCCACAGGCTGGGACCCTGCCCGCGCCGGACGCGCCCGCCTTCTCAGCCACTCGAAGGGTGCCGTGCCCCGGCACGTGCAGACAGGCCGGCTGTATTTAGGGTGACAGAGTGGCTGAACGCTCCTGGGCTTCCGGGAGATGTGTCACCGCCACGGCTGCGTCCGGGCCAGTGGGCGCCTCCACCTACCCAAGGGGTTGAGCGTCCTCAGCTGCTGGTGAGTCTGCGGCTGTGCTGGTTGCTGGCCGGGAACCTGAGGCTGCAGCTGCGTCTGGGCCTGGTTCACGTAGGGGAGTCCGAGGGCAGCGTAGGCCCGCTGCATGGAGCTGGGGTCTATGGGGTTTGGGTTACTTAAAGAGGAGGCGTTCTGCTGGCCTGCGCCCACAGAGCCAATCGTGTTCTGAATTCCACTAGCAGGAGACCCCAGGATAGCTAAAACAACAAACAGACAAAGAAAGGTGAGTTAGAGCAGGAAGCCCACGGCGCCCGCACCGGCGC